AAGTACAGTAAGGAAGTACTTGTACTTCGTTACTTCCCACCACTGATCGAATCTGACCAGCAGGCCCTGTAGTATCAGGAGCATTGGGGTAAACTGGACAAATGCACACTTCACTTTTCCAATTTTCATTTCCAGAACTTCAAAAGAACAACTACTGGTTTCCATTTTCTTCCACTGTGCTGCTGTGTGTTGGTCTATCAACTAAAATATCAGTCAAATACATTGAATTTGTGGTTGAAAACCTACAAAACATGGAAATGTTCAAGAGAAAATAATACTTCTGCAAGTAGATATGATCCAATGCCGCACATATTTTTAATGAAAGTTTTTTTTTTAAATGATTCAACTTGCAATTTGAAAATGATTTATCTAATCACCTCATAAATATTTTCAAGGTTCAAGTCTGTATTAAGCAAAAGTAGGCAGTGGTGCTGTAATCATTTGGCTCAAGTTGTAAAGAAAAAAAAATCACATTAATTTAGTTTCTGTAATGAATTATTTTCCTGTGAAATTATAAACATTTTATTATTTTCAAAGCAAAACTTATTGCTTGTTATCTCATTGGTCTGACTGTCCTGTAGAATATAAGAGTAAGGGTTAAAGATTGTCACAATGAAAAGTAAAAAAGGAATAAACATGCAGTAACTTGGAATGTATGTACTTTTTAACTAAGTTTTTAGAGAGTGTACAGTGCTTATAGCAGAAACGTTATTGTAGTGTAATAACTAACATTTAGTAAGACAGTGATGTCTGATTTCACTCTTTAATATAGGAGCTTAAAAAGCTAGCTATACTTCAAAACACCCTCCTGGGAAAGTCATTTTAATAAATGTTTACAGATTTTTAAAATGAAAACGGAAGGCGACGAAGAGATCACAGCATATTGCCACTAGATGTCGCTTTTTTCCATATGTAAATGAACAGAAACTCTATGTACTATCTTATTTCCACTTCGTTTGTGGCCTTTAGGTCTCGTGCAGCCGTCGAAACAAATCACAACAAAAATAGTGTGGTGATATTATGGCTTTGTTGCCTGTTTGTGTCACACCACAGTCCAGTATGTTACAAATAGTCTTTATAATACATTTTCGCATTTTCACTAAAATATAAAATATGTTTTTTTTTCTTTTTTAGAAAGATTAAGGTCAGTATTTTGTACGCTTTTTCTAATTTCACATGAAGAGCAAAGACATTACAGATATATCCGTAAATACTTACTTGGTTACTGCAAAATCGCTTGCGCATGCGTACCAGTGTATGTAGGTAACATAAAGAGGGAAGACAGTAACGTGATATTACTATATCTAGAACACCAGGACGTTCAAGAGTTAGGCCACGTTGTGTCTTGAAGAAATCCCAACCAACCCTTCATCATGCTGTGAATAAGAGCGAAAAGAATTAACGTTACGTCACTCTTTACCCACAATGCAAAGCGCTTGTAAGATTATGTATATCATTCTATTTTATTTTACTTTGTTTGAATTCATTTTTGTTAGTTTCAACGTGGCGATCTAAACTGAGGAACTGTGTGTGTATATATTTTTGCAGTGTTTACGTTTACTCAAGTTGTTTTTGGAAAACCGTCAATGAAAAGGCTGTGTCAAAGAATGTCCTCTGGCTTCGGCGCTGCACTCGACATGCACTCTTGTTTCTCTTCAGATCGTATAAATCTTTCGCCTTTTACTAAAGATTTCCGTGGAGAGGAACAACAAGAGTTTATCCCAATTTTTTGACGCCCTACGAAAGTGGGGCATTCTAATCTTGTAAAAATAATTCTTAATAGTAGCCTACTGAGAGTATACTGATTTTAGTTGTACATAAAGTTATGAACGAGAAGGAAGAAGCCGTATATGTTGTGATGACTTTAAGTGACCGCTAGATGTCAAAAGTTTTCTGGCTCTTCTGTGATAAATTAATCTGTGATAAATTAGCTGAGGAATCTGTTTTAATAGGCAGCTACAGACATGAAAATGTTACATTTAGACCATTATCTCTTCTCTTTCATCACAATCCAAGTCAACAGGCGGCAACAACGCTACAGCTCTGAAATGCTAAAATATTGAAGACATCGTGAGAATAACTCCCCATCAACAGTGACCGCCAATATCAGGGTTTAGTGATGGAAAAAATTAGGAAATTTAAAAAATAATTGAAAGTCAACAGCCAAGAAGTGAATTTGCTTTCTAACTGCTGTACAATTAATCAGAAAAACAGGACACAAAACTTTGCAAAACTTCTTCTGTATTTTATTTAAAACACAAAGCGTTTTAACTTCAGCTAAGGGAAAAGGTAGTTATTTTTCCAGCATCAACTTTTCAATAACTACCAAAGCTCAGCTGTTGGATCTGATTGATTTAACTGTCTTGTTTTCAGGTGTTTTTATGTTTATAGTCTGCAAAGTGCATTCTTAGATATTCAGTAATGAGTGATGAGATTTCCAAAAAATTTGAGCACCACTTTTTACTTTTTCAACCTTCTGCTGGTTGTCCACACACACCTTCACCTCCTATATTGAAAACTACAATGGTGCCCTGCTTTTTTTCCACGGTACAACTGGCGCACCAAAGTCTTGAAATGAAAAAATATTTAAACAGAGACTTGGTGATCCTCAAATATTGCTCTTTGCCATCGTCTTAAATGCATTGCTGTCCCACTTAGACTCAAAAGTGCAAAAAGTGAGAACGCTCTTTATTTCCCACTGTAGCACTTCATAGTGACACCCAAAGGAAAGAAAAAGTCATGAATAAAAAAAAAAAACTTCATATATTTATTCAAAATAAAGTCAATGTTTTCCTAAAATAATTCAAGATGAGATTATGTTAACTCAAACAAAAAATGAATTTCTTTTAAGTCTTATTAAACACCTTTATCAGTCAGTTAGAGAGGACACAATATGTGCAACTATAAGTTGCCTGCACAGCCCTGCGCATAACATGAAATATGTCTACATGTTTTTAATTCAATGATTTAGATTTGACTGACAAAGGGGAAAAAACTAAAGTATAATTATTTATTCTCATAGACAGTCATCAACAGGCTATCTGCATTTGCTTCCTCATCTCTAGAAAGCTAGTTCCATTTTTCTACTTGTTATTAAAACCTGAGCTTTAAGCAGGCAATGCTTAAAAGCATCTGTGTGCTATTCTGAACACAACAGTCTAAAATGCTGATGAAAAAAATAATGAAAGGTTTTTCAAATAACCAGCATGTCAACAACAGAAATAGATCACAGCAAACACAATAAAAGAAAACTTAAATTTTTTTGCAGATCTTTTTTTTTTCTTGCATATTGTTGCACTTTATGTGAAGGTGATCTCCTGAAGAAGATCTGCAGAGAAGTAGCCCAGCTTGCGTCCTGTGCTGACCTTCAGGTAGCCAGCTTTCTCATCTCCTTTCTTCACTACAATCTAAAAGACAATTATCTTCTTTTATCATTTTGTTTCTTTCTTTTTATTTTAAAGATGTGTCACGTTGTTCACGTACGCACCCGCTAAATTCTGGAAACTTACCTGATCTTTCTTGAGTGTAATTTGTCCCATTTCTCTGTTGCCCACAAAGGAGCGGGTCACCTTGTAAACCCGTTCAGACGCACGCACTTTAATGAGGTAGTTGGCGGGGAAGTAGCCGGTCTTCTCCCCCATCTTTCCCTGATTACATAAGGAAGAGCGTCAGAGTTCATCTTGACGGCAGCAGAGTGTTATAAATCTAAACGGAGGAATGAAACCCACCCTCCACCACTCTTCATTGGAATCATCCAGAACTATGATCCGATCACCAGGGCTGATCAAGTCAAAACGGAGTTTTGAGCGATTAGGGTTGATTTGTCAAATTCCGTCAAAGGAAAATGTGTCATTACTTATAAGGTGAATACACTGAGACTCATTTAGATCTCTCAAACATACTGGAAGTCAAGGTCGTCTTTCTCGATGGCTTTGAAGCGGTAGAGAGCCAGGTAGTAGTGGGACCCGGTGAAGGTGCCTTTAGCCTGTTGACAGAAAGCACAGACAATGCAGCAGGAGAGAAACAATGAAAGTGAAATTATTTACTTCCAGTTGCAGGTTGAAGAACATGAAGTTTGCTCTCACCTTGTCATCTGCTTTGTCTCCACCTTTTTCTTTTTTATCTTCAGGCTTCCCTGCACGAACACATGAAACAGTAACTCAGAAACAGGCATTGATTTTTCGTCTTTGACATCTACCCAGCGCTTTACCAAAGTAATCTATTTTTAATTGTTTGAACAAGATCCTTTAAATTATCTGTGGTATTCTCTATCTCAGGTAACATCATAATTTTAGTTTTACCTTCTCCTCCCTCTTCGTTTTCTTTGGGTTGTTGGTTTTCTTCCTCCTCCTCTTCCATCATCATCATCATCTAGATGACACAGTACATGAAAGTCAACATGCTAAACAAAAATGATCATTTATTGATGTTTCAAATTTATGTTTAAAATCGTTGACATCTTCAACAGTGCACTGAATGTGGAGGGTTCTGTAAATTACGCAGAAACTTAAAAAAAACCCAACTACTTCTGCCTCCTGTTTGTTTTTTTCTTCTTCTGAGCTTTTGATTTTTTTGATTGAAATATGACCAAATTACTCACATTCTTCTTGTCGTTTTCATTCTTTTTGCGTTCCTTGTTGGCCATGATGACACCAACCCTCAAGGTATCAAAGACGGGGTCGTTCCGGTTCGGGTTGTCTGGTATCAGCACATTATTTTAAACCAAGTTATGATCATTTACGGTAGTCATTTCACCAATCAGCTTCCAGTGTGAGAGCTGCTTTTCCGAGTCTAGAAAATGTATAATCTTAGTAAAGAACAAGTGCAACTAAAGCTTTGAAGGACTCACTTGGGTCTGGTTGGTCACTGCTGTACAGTGGGGAGCTATAGGCCCGTCTGAAGCCTGGTGGCTGCAGAAAAACACAACGCTTGAAATTTTTTTGCACAACTCTGTCTTTACTGGTGCAAAGAAATTAGACATTTGAATGACTTGCTCCGTAAAAGGCATGCTGGATAGTGAAGAAAAACCCACAATTTTTCCAAAGCACTTCTGGAACTCGACGTAGTGCTGACACGAATGATGGATGTTGGTCTTGCAGTTCTTACACCTCAGACAGAATTTGTTGTTCACTAGGTGGTGTGCAAAGGAATATCAGTGAGGAGAACCTGACAGCATGTGGTTGTAGCAGCGGTTCAGGTGCAGAATGTATTATGAGTTCGTCTCCTGCATAATACATACAAACGATCATGCGAGCACAGACGTCACAGAACTTGGGCTTCTTGCAGTAATGGTCCTTAAACTTGTGGGGTTTGTCATTGATCCGAATAACAGGCTCTGGAGGAGGCTCTGGTTCCTTCTCCTCTACCTCCACCTCCTCCTCATAGATGAAATAGACCTGGAGAAACAAATAAAATCCTGAGGTAAGGTTTTATTTTGGGCGGGTTTGGATGTTCAGTGACATTTGGAAAGAGGGCTTTATTTTTAAAACTCCCCATTTCTGGTTTGGTTATTAGAAGATTTTTTTTTCCATCATAGAGAGAGAAAATACACTATGAGTTCATAATCTTAATGTTAAAAATGCCGTTGAACTGTAGTCCTGCCTCGAGGTTGCGGCTATTTTAAACACCCTGGGAATGCCCCTGCTAACACTGGCTGGTTAGCATGGTGCTACGACTCACAGTGTCTCCATCTTCCCTCACTACGTTGTCAGGAGCTGGAGGATTGTCATGAATATCCACAGAGTTTTTGTCATCCTCCCTAACACACAGATACACACACACACACACACACACACACACAAAGGAGAAAACAAAAAAAGAAGTTCAGATAGTTCTTATTGGGAAAATAAAAGTTTGTTCAGCTTGTCAGACAACAAATGCAAATGTCAAACTGCCTAACGTAGGACATTAACGTAAAATATGACTTAAATAAGTGCTATTTTATCATACATGCAGGCAAAGAGTTACCATTGCTGGCTTGGCTTAATTTTAATGGCTATTTACTTCATTTCTGAACCAATTTTGATATTTTTATTTGTAAAAAAAAAAAAAGGAAAATTGTTGAAAAAAAAGTGTCATCTTCCATCCCTTTTGATAGCTGTGCACTACTTTGTGATGGTCACTCCCAATAAAATACATTGAAGTTTGTGGTTCCGAGGAGGCATGCATGTGAACATAACCCACCGGTAACACTGTTGAAAGTTTGTCCAATGCCATATTCAAGAAATCAATGGATGTTACTTTGTACAAAACAAAATCTTACACAATATGTCTCTTCATCTTAACATGGGGTTCCTTTATCTGTTGTTGTGTAGAAGAATACTAGGAGAACCGAAATGAGTTGATAAATACGGATATCAAACGGCGTGCAGGAGGAGAAGCATGCAGGAACTGTACTCACTGGTCCATGGTGCAAGGCTAAACTTGTCAATACACCAAAGTCTAAAAGAAATCAGAACGATTTTATTGTTGCACTACTGGCCGTCCCATTCAGGATACATTTTGATTAATGAAACAACCATAGTTTTGATCACAGCCTCTAAATGCTGTGCATCTCATGTTTAGCTATGAATGATTATATTTGTTGCATGAGCCGTAGACATATATATAGTCAATGCATGGAAGAACCAAATGTCGACTGACTGCCCATAGGCATAAAAGCAATAGAAAATATGACCAGGACACAACTGACAGATGTTATTATTTTCATTTTCTTCCTGTTCACCGCCATTTCTAATGCTGCCCGGGGAATCTGCCTTCATACTTCATATAAAAAACACTACTATCTACAACTTAAATGTGTTGAATGTTAATTAAAGAGGATGATGTAGTGGAAACTCAAATGCAGATACAAACACCAAACTACAGTATACTGTTTACAGTGTTTATGGCAATCACTTGAAGCACACAAAGTGTTTGGGGGGCACTGGTCTGCTTAAACTGAACTATTCTTGGTTGGTGAAATTTGATCTCATCTCAACTAAATTTGGAAGTTGCTGCCAGTCAAAAAAGAAGAAGAAAAATAACATTTTGAAATCCAGCTCTGGAGAAATACTGCTTCTATGATCGATAGGTGTCAACTGGACTTTCTCATAGAAACCAAGGCAACCAAACTGAAAGATCAGAGCCTCTTTTGGTCAGTAGAGAGATGTTTTAATAAAAGAATACAACATTTAAGCTGAAACACCTACCTTTAGTTCAAACGTGTACAGATCACACTGAAGTCTTCACCAGCTGGTAATAACTGTCGTATTATTAGTTCGGTGTGGTTGAGTCTAAGAAGGAAGCTGACCAAAATGTTTCCTCACTTCCCAGGGCCTCAGGATTCAGTCTCTGTCTGTAGTCCCTCTGATGTTTTCTTCATGTTATTTTTTCTCTGATTCCCTCTGTGACTCAAACTCTCGTAGATTTGGGAAGGTCTTTGTGATGTGTATCCATGATTTTCTGGGCGTAATTGTATGCACAGCAGGCTGAGCCCTGCTATGTGAGGTTGATGGGTTGGAACAGCTGAGGACCTCAGTCTGAGCACCAGTGACGATGGAAATCAGATACATTCTCTCCGAGTGGCAACATTATATGCACGCACGCACGCACACACACACAAACACACACACGCACGCGCTCACGCACGCACGCACGCACGCACAGACACACACGCACAGGTCTTTTATCTTGTACCATTCGTTCACAGGCCACAGAAATACACACAGAGGCAAGTTCAGGTATTTATACGTAATTATGTTTACAAGTCACGCAGACTTGAATGTTCGGTCAGAAGTTAAATTAGAAGTAATTTTTTTGTGAAACAGCTCTATCGGCTCACCAAACAAAGTAATGCGCCATCTTTTCTAATCTATCTCCATCTCTGGATTTCATATTTATTAATTTCATTTTTTTATTATTATTTCATACACTTATTTGTCTATTTAATGATGTTTTTACCCAGTTGTTTGTGGTGCTCACCCAATTCTAAGTGCAAAAATAAATCTTTATTGGTTGAGATTTTCTTTGATTTCAGCATTTCAACAATTAAACCATTAGTCAATGCAAATAGGTTGGGAGTCCCACAGTGATTTAAAGACCATTTTCTGTTCTTGAATTTTACCAAACCTGTCTCAGTGAGTTTAGCAATTCCCACAAAGTTAGTAATTTTATTGTGCTAATTGACAGCAATGAAATCCAAAACCTATTTCTAAAAGCCTAACTGCAGAGTAGGCCTGAGACTTGGCCTCAAAGACAGAACGGTTTTGGTTTCTTTTATATGTAGCAATATTCCATGTCTTGGACCTGATCAAATAAATTTGAACTAACAAAATAAATAGTGTTTTTCATCCATCTTTACACTTCTGTGTAATGCAGAAAAAACTGACCTTGTTAGATATTCAATTCCTGATGAGATAACATTTTAACTCGGCCAGCTTACTAGTTTTAACCCACTGTTTAAACACTTTTAAGAGGGTACGTATAATTGATTTTGGCATAGCTTAATGCTTATGTTAAAAGGTTCTGGTCTGATATGTGTCAATATCTAAAAATGTCTATGTATATTTTGTGAATTCTTGATACTTCTATAATGCGTCCACTTAATTTCTATTTTTTCTTCTTTGATGCCGACTGTACTTTTTTAAAATAAGGGTAGCGTCTTCTTCTTCTTCTTCTTCTTCTTCTTCTTCTTCTTCTTCTTCTTCTTCTTCTTCTTCTTCTTCTTCTTCTTCTTCTTATTATTATTATTATTATTATTATTATTATTATTATTATTATTATTATTATTATTATAATTATTATTAATGAAAGTTCTGTGGAAAATCAAAAGCGAAGGGCTATTTAGGAGCCAAAAGAACCTGTTCACTTTGATGAACTGAGCCAAATGATTCGGATCTCAGAACAGAGCCACAATTCACATCACTGTTCGCAACACTACAAAGGTCCCGTTGCATGTTGGGTACAATATTCCTGAAGCAGTGAATGCGCATGCTCAAAAGAAAACTCCATTATTTTTGCTCGGAATTTGTAAGAAAAAAAAAAAAAACACAGTGGGTAACTGTGAATTGGGGATTACATGGGTCGTTATGTTTTGTCGAAATAGGTTTGAATGCATCGAGAATTAGCAGAAGGAGAGACCAAAGTAAGGATCTTATAGCTGTGGAGCGGGAGCGGGATATCCCTCTGTCTTGCTGGGACACTCCAGAAACAAGTAAATTTCACTCTGTTAGCTCCTCCAGCTAGCCTTAGCAGGGAGCGTTAGGCGCAGTAAAATGAACCGTTATTGCCCTTTGTTTTTTTTTTAAGCCGGACTGGCTGACTAAATGCTGAGAGCTGATTCACCGCGCCAATACGTGGTTTGGGTTATGTAATCATCTAAATTTACAATTATTTAATAAAGTATTAATCGTTTTCGAAACATACTCTCTCCAGTTCTGTGGCTAACTGGCTAAGTCTTAATTTGAGCCCAAAAAGAGCGAAGACTTCAAAACTTGGCCAACACACAGCTTGAAGCAAAGAAATGTTGTTCAGCAAATATTGACGTTAGCGGACATATGCCTGTAAGTAAGTGTAACATAATGTCCAAATTATTCTTATTTTTATTGTGAGGCAGTTTTGTAAGCGGGTCAGTTCACGTATCCGTAGCTAAGACGCTGGAGTTACGCATCGGGAGTGTTTTGTGCTCCTGACAGCTGTCACGACAACAGAAGTGGATTTAGCCTGTTAGCTTAGCCGTTAGCTTACACGCTAGCTGCTGTGCATTTACTGCAATATTACAAATTTATATATAGAAATACTGCGAATTTAGGTAAAGTTTAGTCTTTGTGCCGGGTTTTGTCTTATCGTTTAAGTTTGTTGTTGGTAAGGCAAATGTTCACACTGTAGGCAACCATTCAATAAACTAAGGGCCTAGCAAAACACGCCCTCATACTTCAAAATAGCTACAGCTCGCCCTAAACTTGTACAAGTTCAGTAAATTAGATGTAATAATTTTTCAGCCATGGCTGGACGAGGAAATATTTACTGCACCATTTACTTTGCCCCCTCCCCCTGCCAGATTACATAATCCACCTCCACCTTTCTTTGCAGGCTCTTCTTCTTCCTCTAAGACCCAAAAACTCTCATGTGAGTTGAACAGATTGATTTGTTGGAAGCGACCCAAAAGTTAAGGATCTGCCTCACAGTGGTGGAAATTACAGTTGTTTTGGACAAGTCAGGTTTTACGGGCAGAGTGAGTGCTTCTCACCCACCAGCATGTACATTGGACAACGGATACCTTAGCCAAAATAGATCCTGGCTTCCCGAAGATGACAAGGTATTGAGCATCTTATTATTATTATTCAGTTATTTATTTGTCTTGCAGTTTTTAGTAGATAGTTTACTGTCATTTGTGTGAAATCAATATTTTCTTTTGGTGTGGCCACACCCACTAAATAGGAAACACACTGGATTCTAGACTGTTTTTAAGAAACACTTTACTTCTTGGAAAACAATAAGCAAATAATTAAATGTTGGAAGCTTTTTTTTATTTTTTTATTTTTTATTTTTTTGGTGTGTGGAAACTGATATAAAACTACAGAAGTGCGCATGCTTTTGTGCTGTTTGTATTTACAGTCCTCCTGACTGGGCATGGTCAGGGACGAGATTCTCGAGATACTTTAGCCTTGTGCAAAAATAACACGGTTACACTTAATCAAAATAATGTAGAACATATTCCAACTGCTTTCCTTAAAAAACAACACACTGCTTCTAAAATGTCACTATGCATTTTGATATGACTATCAAAATGACATAGGATACAGAAGAAATATGCAGTATGTAAAAGTTTTCTTGTAAATGTGCTTATTGGATTGAACATTACACTAATTTGCTGGTTAATTAGGCCGCTTGGCTGAGCCAGCTTGCAGTTGAATGCTTAACAGACTTGCAGCTTGTAGAATACTAGCTGTAGTTTTAAAAGTGTTATCCTTCTCTTTTCCGTACCTGAAATCTGCCAAGTCGTCTTTCAGCCAGCAGTGCACAGCAACAGCTGGGGAGGGGCTTCACTGGGTTTGATCCATGCTCCTCCCAGATGGACAAAATCTCTTCATTTTGACATTTCAGTGGTGTTGAAATCATAACAGTTTATAACCTTAGTTTACCTTAACCTATGCCTGCTTACAATTCAGTTTATCCAGGGTTTTCGTGTCAAGGAGCTAGTTTAATATTTTCACATTATAACTTCATTGTAGATTCTTGAAACTTTGTATTACAGCCTTTCCATTTAATTTAGTTCTGATTTTCATTTGACTCTTATGAGCCATGAAAAATTAGTTCCAGAGATGCACCAAGATGGCTCTGTGTGACTTCCTGTTTGTAGGTATTACTAATTGTAGCCACAAGACAAAATTTCAAGTTGTAGAAAGCAGAAAATGACTTTTGTTGTTTCAGGAAGCACAACACTTAGCTGCTATGAATAGACGTTTGGTCGACACAAGAAATCCCGCAGTAGACGGCTTGATTTTGTGCTCTTAAAAGTTGTGTGTGAGATGAGAATAGTGAAAAAACCTGTACCTCTAGTTTGTACATACTGTGTTTATTTTGAGAATGTTGCTGACATGTATTTACCGGTACGTATGACATAACACCATACTTATACAATATTTAACATGGTTAAGCCGTGGCATTCTTTCTAATGGCTGCAAAACATCAAAAAGAGTTTGAACTGACTCTTTAAACCGAATTGTTAAATTAAACAATTCACTCTTGCTTAACTGGTTCTGAAGGCCAGTTACTTCAGAGCTGGCCTAAAATGTTCTGAAGTAAAAGTGAAATACAAGAATAAGAGAACAAATCTGTCAAAAATGTTTTAAACTCCGGTGGCTTTAAATTTATAAATTCCTAACGACGTTTTTAGTTTAATTTGATTTCTAGACATTTAAAATTCCATGCGTTTAAACAGCCGTTCGTCTAACGGCGTGCGGTGACTCTTTGCTGCTTTTACAAGGTGCTGGCAGGACGCAGCGACAAAATGATGGGAGGCAGTGAGACCGTCAGCAGAGACAAGGATGCGGTCCATGCTGCTGCGATACATGTCCCCATTGGCTGGCTCCGGAGAGTGGAGAGAGGGCAGGTGACCTATGTCAGGTGCGTTGGGTCATTTGAAGACATGTAGAACAGGAGAGTATGCTTATTTATTGATGGACTGCAACATTTTTGTTGTCTATGCTGCTAATAGACTCTGGAAATCTGTACTGTATGAACTTTTAGCAGTTAGCCTGCAATGTCATTGTTATTCTGAAAAATGATCTTTTGTTTCTTCTTGTAAGCTGGGTGGAATTTGAATGGTTGAAGCTTTACAAAAGAAACCATGTATCAGTGTTCCTGTTACTTTCTCCAGTTTCTTTTAACCCACATTCCTAAATTAATAACGGTTTTGATTGTGCTTCTGAATCCTTGAACAGGCCTAAGTCTGTTTCTGTTTCTCATTCATTAAGTTAATGATCAAACCGAATATTCCCACTCAATTTTATTGGCATTATAGGTTCCACATTATCATG